TTGAGTCTCGTATTATTTTATTTTTATATTATTAATAAACTGCATATTTTATCTTATCCTTTTGTTATTATTTGATGTTATACTATTCTTTGCACTGAGCTAAGTCACAAACTAACTTGGTGCGATAAACCTTCACATTGCTAACAAAGAACTCACGTATCGAAATTATTAAATAAATTGAGAATCCCTTGAAATTACAAACCTATAAACTTGAGTAGAAATTTCTAAAAGTCTTAGTAAATAAACAATACCTTCTAATTACATTGACAGATTGCGCATAACACTAGGAATGCATGAATCTCGTACTGACTCAATGGTTGATGATTTGTTTCGTGTTAGTATGCTAAATCACCATTCTTTTAACAATAATGTGAGTAATTTGAAATAAGTCTTATTGTTATTATTATGGATTTTTAATTTTTCCTTTTCCATCAGAAAACTTTATTAGGTAAAAATTCATGCAAATTTCAACACCTGCACAAATTTGCATAAATTTTTATTATATTTTTCTATTTTTTCAACTTCACTTGTGATTTGTGAGACACAAAGCAATTTTTACTAAGATAAAAAGAAAGGCCTGGTTCTTGACTACAAAATAACCTATATTTCATTCTGGTAGCATCAATATTTGTGGAATTATTTGTATTTAAAGTCAGACATCCGTGAAAAAATTATGTGAAAATTTGCACAATAGTTTCACACGATTTTTTCACGTATGTCTAATTTATATATGCATAACTCAATGAATATTGATACTACTGAAATGAAATATATGTCATTCTGTAGTCAAGAACTGGGCCTTTCTTTCTATCTTAGAAATATCTTAGTGAAAAATCACTCTGTGCCTCGCAAATTATGAGCGAAGTTGAAAAAATGGAAAAATATATATAAAAATTTGAACAAATTCACACAGGTGTTGAAAATTTGTGAATTAAAAAAAAAATAAAATTTTTGTGTGTCGAATTTTCACCTAATAAAATTTTCTAATGTAAGATTCTTCTAATGTATAAAGAAATACTTTGTTCTTTGACTATAGAATGATATATATTTCATTCAGATATCATTGATATTTATCAAGTTATTTATATTTAAATTTGAATATATATGAAAATTTAAATATGAATATCTTCATAAATATTGATGCTAAAGGAATGAAATATATATATTTTATGTACCTTGGCATTAGTTCTACTATTAGTATTAAAAATATTATTTCTAATGTAAATAGATAATTTATATCTTAAACCTTGCTCCACTTTTTGATTATAAGGAATTTTTGTGGAACAAAGTACTTTGTTGCCTCTGGTTAGATAATAAATTAGTAGGTAATTTGAACTCGAAACTTATTTCTGGCATGTTCAGATTTGATGAGTCATAGAACTGAGATTTTGTTTCTTCCCTACTTACCTCAGTTGAATTTTTTGGATTTGTTTCCAGTGTAACAGTTTTTATATCACATAAATTAAACTGTTCTAATGAATTATTATCTGAAGACAAATCTTTGGAACTAAGCTTCTTTTCCTAATTCCTTTCTCTTATTTTATTACTAATTTGTTCTTTATGTATTCGTTTCAGAAATTCATTTTCTTCTTTCTCTTCTATTGATATGATTTTTGTAGGAATAGGAGATGTGAGAATCACTGATTCTTGATATAAATTAGAATTGTCAGAAGTAGTTACTTCATGACTAGATATGTTAGACTTCTCGTTATGTGAAATTATCTGTTCATTATACGTGTTGTCCAAATTCCAAATCATTTGAGATTTGGGATGTCAAAATTTCAAATTACTAGTATTTGGGATTTGGGATTTGGGATTTTGGCAAAAATACTAATCATAATTTGGGATTTGGGATTTGGGATTTTGGCATTTGGGATTTTGGCATTTGGATTTTGAATTTGGGTGACAGGTATACTGTTCATAAGTATCATTAGAATTTAAAATGTTATCAGTTATATTAGATATCGAAATATTTTTACATTGTGAAACTGTCTATTCAAGTGTATTAGAGACAAACACAAAATAATCAGAATTTATTAAAAATTGTAAAATGACTTTTGTAAAAAGTATATTTTGTGTATCAATGACAGTTTGATGACACTTCGTATTCTTGTCTTGCATGCTCTGTTTCTTGATTAATAAAACATTGTATTATAATTTAGTAATAAAGATGAACTTTTCTTTGTTCTTTTGTTCTAATTCCATAAATCTAAAATTGATTTTTTCTTTATCTTGTTTTAATTTTATATTCTTAGTCTTAATTTTAGCAAATTTCTTTTTAAGTTCAGTGATCTGGCAAATGAAATTAAAATTTAATTCCTTCAATAAATTAATTGTGGATTGTAGATTTTTCATTATTTGTATAAGATACAAATATATTTAAATAAAAAAACACATGTCTTATCTTTTTATAAAATACTTAAATATTCAAATAATTATATAAAAATATTAGCATCATATATAATAATTTGTTATACTGATCACTTTTGTCAAGAAAATTATTTTGGAAAAATTACTGTTATATATGATTCAAAAGAATCGTCTTAAGGCTTATACAAAAAATAATACATGATATATTATATATTCCTCTAGATACAAAGCATCTTCATTTTGTGAGACCAAAAATCTTTATTAATGAATATATATGATAAAATACATAATAAAATATATGATGTCTATATATAAAACCTTGTTTATACTTCACATAATAAATACAAAATAAAAATCTATCTATTTATAGGATAGAAATATTACTGTAAGACTTTGGATAGCATTTCTTGATAAATGTGTATTGACTTGCTCTAGAGCTTATATCAGTAAGTTTTAGTTTATAATTATAATATTTCTAAAAGTTAAAAGTAAATGAATAAGAAGTTCTACATGTCATAAAGTATTTTTTGTAAAAGATATTTTCACTTGATTTACATAAAAATATCTGATATACCACTTATATCTTTTACTAAAATATTTAAATATAGATCTTCAATAATTATCTGAATTTCAACAATACCAAATTAATTATTCGTTGGCCTATATGCAATATCTACAAAATTTATATCATCCAAAGTCTCTTTCTATAATTTTACTGAATCATCCTCTCTTTTTAATCTAGTACAAAGAATTTGTGATAACTCAATATAAACAAGTTTAAAAATCATATCTCCATATTTTGTCATAACCATAACATCCAGCTTTTTTTCTATTAGAGTCTTGTATATTGATCTTTCTTTATTTGATCCTGAACTTTTACAAGCCTTACTTGTTATACTTTGATGTTCAGCAGTACTTAGAAAAAATCTATTATTAGGAAGTTCCTCCAGGCTAACTCGAAATAAAGGTACAATAATATTTGTGATATAAGTCTCTTCACACTGGTTAAAAATTAATAAATCATATATACATCGGGTACCTAATATATGCATGGTACATCCCTAATATCGGATGTATATCAGATACCCGATAGGCATAAAAAATATTTTATTTATATATCGGGTACTCAATAAGTGTAAAAAAATATTTTCTACACCTATTGGGTATCTGATATACGTCCAATATTAAGGACGTACCATGCACATATTGGGTATCCGATGTGTATATGATTTATCAATTTTTGACCAGTGTCACTTTGAGTATCTTGTATTTTACTAGTTGTGAATATCAGATTATTCCATATTTCCTCTTTATAAATATGAAAAATAAAATTTACTATAAATTAACATAGTTTTAAAATAGATATTTGAATATTCACATTTTACAAAATACAATTACATACAGAACATGTAATATATAATCTGTTCGTTCTATTAATTTTGATCTTTCTTTTTTTCACTCCTTGTTATATTTAATATTTCTAAGTATATTTAAAACATTAACTCTATTGAAATTATTTAAAAATTCAATACATCTTGAAATAATGAAGATAGAAAAAACACATTTCATATTCTTATATGGTTTTAAAAAAATTTGTATTTATCTTTGTTCTAGATTTTTACTAATATAGAATTATTAGCAATTATCATATTAATGTTAAGTAAGTTCAGAACAATTAATGAAATTTAAATTTATTTTAAAGACATTATAGAAAGATATATTGATATTAGCTATTGATATTTTAAGTTTCGATTATAATGTTCTTAAATTTCAATCAATTTCTTCTCTTGAATAATCAGGAGTACCTTCTTGTTCTGTATCTAATTCCTTTACTATATCCAATTTTATAATATTTTTATATATAATTTCTGTCTATAACAAATATAAAAAAATAGATATTAATTACAATTATTTTAAAGTATGCTATAAAGTAAATAATCTATATTTATTTGTACATGTATCAGAAAATTTTATAAAGTGAAAACTTGTAAAAATTTACGTAAGTTTCTGAAGTTATCAAAAATTTCTACAAATTTTGATATATTTTTTCTGTTTTTTAACTTTAATCACGATTTTTAAAACATAAAGTGATTTTTTACTAAAGTATTACACTGGTTGAAAATTGATAAAATATATACATATCAGGTACCCGATATGTGTATGGTGTGTCTCTAATATCGAGCATATATTGGGTACCTGATATATATATAAAATATTTTCTACACCTATCGGGTACCCGATATATGCCCGATATTAGGGACACATTATGTACATATCGGATATCCAATATGTGTATGTTTTATCAATTTTCGACCAGTGTTACTAAAATAGATAGAACAATCTTATTCTTGGCTACAAAATGATATATGTTTCATCCTTGTAGTATTGATATTTGTGAAGTTATTCCAGTTTAAAAAAAAAGTATCTGTAAAAAAAAATCATAAAAAAATTTCTAAAAACTTGTAAAAATTTTTGCACCATGAAATTTTTCACCCGATTTTTCACAGACACTCTTTTTTTAAACTGGAATAACTTCGTAAATATCGATGTTACAAGGATAAAATATATATCATTTTGTAGTCAAGAACAAGGCCATTCTATCTATCTTAGAAAGACTTTAGTAGAAAATTGCTCAGTGCTTTGAAAATTACAAGCGAAGTTAAAAAAATAAAAAAAAAGCATGAAAATTTATGGAAATTTTTGATATCTTCAGAAATTTGTATAAACTTTCGCAAGTTTCTGCTTTGTAAAATTTCTTGATATACATAATCAGATAATATTTATTAGTCTCATTAACTTCAAAAATTAAAATTAATTCTATTTTGTATATCACATACAGTTTAAGGGATAGCAGAAACTCTCAACATCATGAGGAAAAAATTCTGATCACATCACTCTTCCAAGCTATCATCTTTAATTTTTAATAATAATATACAAAATAGACTTGACCATATCAGTGTTGCTAATAATATTTGTTGTAAAATCATTATTATATATACTTATTTTGTAATTACAAATAAGTAAATAATTTATGTGAAATATAATACTTTGTACTTACAAATTTGTATTAATATTTTCAGGATTTTTATTCTTTGTTCAAAATTAGTTATCTTATCTAATGAAAAATTTACTGCACGTTCTGTAAAATCTTTAATATCATTTAATGATAATATAGTTATTTCTTTTCTTGTTGAATAAATAATTGTAGCAAAGTATATAACTTCAAGGGATTCTTTTAAAAAAAGTGTTTCAATTTTTAAAATTAAGATTGACATATTGAAAAATAAAAATTTAATTATATATAAGTAATGATAAATTAAATTATAAAAAGATATGAATAAAGCTTTTAACAATATTACTATACTGTCCTTTTAATACTTTTCATTATTTTTTTTTTAGTATCTCGACTTATATTTTAAGAGAGATCAATATATGCATAATAACAAATAATATGTATATGTTCCATAACCACTTGTTTTGAATATAGGTAAAAAGTCTACTATACTTTTCTTTTATCACTTTTTATTATTTATTTCATATTGTACTGAAGAATAGATTAGAAAAAAAAGTAATGTATGCACAAGAATAAAGGATATGTATATATTTTGAATCAATTATTCAAATCAGGTTATTGATATCCCTATTTGTAAAAAAGTACAATATATTAGTTACAGTTTGTGCATATTTTTATAATAAATATAAATATGAAATTGACAGAATAAAAAATGATGTTATATATTTATTTTTGAGATATTTTTCACATAGATATATAGGGTGTAAGGGGCACTAATTAAATTTGATAATTGATGTATTGCTTGATCAGATGATACATGTAAATTCTATATATTTATACGTGTTGCCCAAATCCCAAATCATTTGGGATTTGGAACGCCAAAATCCCAAATTACTAGTATTTGGGATTTGGGATTTGGGATTTCGGCAAAAAATACTAATCATAATTTGGGATTTGGGATTTGGGATTTTGGCATTTGGGATTTTGGCATTTGGATTTTGAATTTGGGTGGCAGGTATAATATATTTACCAATTTTCAGAATGGAAATTTATCTTCAAATTTAAGGTGGTATTTATTTGAGATCCCTGTAATTTATCAAATTGTGATTGGCTATACTATTGTCAATAGTTATTTAATATTAAATAGTTTAATTTTAATAATTACAATTATACTTGCATGCAAAATTATTTTGAAATCCTGAAATTGTAATTTCGAAAAAAAAGTCAAAATAGTTTTTTATAGAAGACAAAATTATTTTACTTAAAATCTGAAATTTTTTGATTACCAGATTTATTCTTTGATTAAATATATACATAACTAGATACTTTTTTTACTTTTAAATATAGAATAGATTTTGCATAAATCTCAAAAAGTCAAAATACTTCAAAAATCCAAAATCAATTTTGGAAATATGTATAATTACAATTGCCTTCTTTCTTTAGAGTTCTGACAGAATGAAATAATTCCTTTTCTTTCTTTATAAAGTAAAAAAAGAACCATTGCACCAATTTTATCCAGTTATTTAAAGCAGACCTTTAAGGTAGATCTGATAATTTTTTTTTAAAAAAAAAATTACTTTCTTATAAAGATGAAGTATAAAAAAAAACAATATACACTTTTCTTTTTTTGAAATCATATTTGCAGAATAGGAAAGGTATATATAAATGTTGCAACGATGGAAGTAAGTACTTTTATCATTATTATTTTTTTGTTTTTTAGTTTGTTAAAAAATAAAAAAAAACTTATCTCTTCTCTTTATCTATATTCTCTTCTCTAAGTAATACACTTACTTTTTATTTCTTGAAACCTCAAAATTACATTTATCCGGATGTTATAATGTTTGAAATAAGTACTTTTATTTTATTTTTTTAAAAAAAAACAAAAAATACTGTACTTACCCTTTCTCTTTATCTACCTTCTCTTCCTTAAATAATACACTTATCTCTTATTCTTTAAGACCTTGAAATCGTATTTGTCAAGGTGATATAATGTTTGAAATAAAAAAATACTTACTTCTTCCTTTATCTACTTTTTTTCTTTACTTCCTTTTCCCCTTACCTATCTTCTTTTTCCTAATACACTTATCTCTTATTCCTTGGGACCTTGAAATCAAATTTGTTGAGGTAACATAATATTCAAAATAAGTACCCTTATTTTTTTTAATTAAAAATACAAAAACACAATACTTATCTTTTTTTTTATCTACCTTTTTCCTTTACTCCCTTTTTCTTTTATCTACATTCTCTTCCTTAAGTAATACACTTACTTCTTCTTTCTTGAAACTTTGAAATCACATTTGTCAAAGTAATATAATGTTTAAAGTAAATACCATTATTTTTTTTAAAAAAAAAAAATACAAAAAACACTATACTTGATTTTTTTCTTTATCTATTTTTTTCCTTTACTCCTTTTTTTCTTTATCTACCTTCTCTTCCCTAAGTAATATACTTACTTGAGATCTTGAAATCATGTCTATCAGAGTGGCATAATATTTAAAGCAAGCCTCTTTCTTTTTTTTAAAAAAAAACTTTATTTTTTAAAAAAAAAAAAATAATAATTTTATCTATCTCTTCTCTTTATCTATCTTTCGTTCTCTAAGTAATACACTTACTTTCATTTCTTGAAATCTCAAAATCATGTTTGTCAGGATAGCATAATGTTTGAAATAAGCTTTTTTTTTTTAAAAAAAAAAAAATAAAAAAATATTTTTACTTAAAAATAAAAAAATATTATATTTTACCTTGGGACCTTAAAATTAATTTGTCAAGATAGCGTAATATAAAAATGAATTATTTATTATAATTAAATATATGAGTTTCACATTCTGTAATACATTATGAATATTATAATTAGATATTGTTAAAGCTCACACTAGTGATAAATTATTATTTTCACAAATTAAAAATATAAATATCAATAAACAATTATCTACTGTAATTAAATATATGAGTTTCACATTCTGTAATACATTATAAATATTATAATTGGATATTGCTAAAGCTCACACTGGTGATGAATTTTTATTTTTGCAAATTAAAAATATAAATATCAATAAATTTTAATTTAAATAAATTTGTATTTTTTTTTTCAATAAAATTTTATTTTATAATAAGTTTATCATGTCATTAGATAGTGAATATGATAGTGAACAAGAAAATATTACTAATAAACTTTGCATTAAAGAAGAATCAACTTATCTCTTTAGTAATAAAATTTTATATAAAGAATGTAAAAATAATATTATCAAGTCTAGTTTTAATTATCTTATAATAAAAGGTGTATATCTAGTTAATTTTGAACTTTCAAGTAAAAAACAAAAAACAAATAATTCAATACCAAGTAAAATCAAATATTCTTGACAACATTATAAAATTCCATATAATTACATTGTAGAAATAACTTGGAGTTGTGCTATTAAAAAAAGAACAGTTCGATGTGAAATTGATTATAATAAAGATACTCATATATATTAATTTCAAATTAAATATGAACCAGATTTTTAGCAAGTTGTTTTTTCAAATATATCTCTTACTACAATAATAAAAATTTATAAGTAGGTAATTAATTATATTTGTTTTATAATTCTATTATCATAAATATTAATTAATTATTTTTTTAAGCCTTAAATTCAAATACAAAAACTACAATTTCAGGTTTACTTTTATTTAGTTTACAATTAAATAGTATATAAAAAGAAAGAGAAGCAAAAAGAAAAAGACATTTGATTAAACCAACTATTAATTGTACTTCTTCAACTCTTGAGAAATGTACAAAAAAAATAATAACAAAAATTCAATTAAATTTTAATAATGATATAAATAAAATATATCATCTATTAGATAAGATAAAATTAAAAACACTAGAATTTTCTATTAATCAAACAGAATATCAAGTAAATTTTGAATACAAGAATTAGTTAGATGAAAATAATCACATTAAGTCAATTGTAAAAGTTATTAATTATAAACAAATATTAAGAAATTCTTATCAAGATTTAGTTACAACAGATTATCATATGAAATACATATATTCAGTTTTTAATAAACAAATTGAAATAATTAATTATATGAATCAAATAATTAAAATTTCATTAATAAATATGAAAGGAAAAGATAAGTTGAAAAATATAAAAGTTAAAAAATCAGATATTACAAATGTAGATATTATAAAAGAAGTTACAGATACAATAGGCATGGATGTTCTTCGAAGTGCAAAAGATATTTTATGTTACATTATAAAAGAAACAAGTTTTAAATTCATCAGATCTAATTATGTATTTGTGCATATCTGATAATAAGCAAAATGTGGGATGAAAAATAAAGTATGTTATGGTTACATTTATGATTTTAAATCATAAAAATAAAAGTCATGATGCTGATTATCATTATACTGTAGCATTATATTTAGACACTGAAAACTATGATACACTTAAATTTATTTTAAATTCTTTTTTTAGAGAGTTATGTTTATTTAAAGATAATAGATTAGAAGTAAATAGAATTTTATAGAAATTTGAACTTAATTTTAATTCAAATTAGAAGTTTCTTGTCATATGTCTGGAATTAAATAGTGCTAATTCAAAATATTTTTGTTCATGGTGTATGTGTTCAAAAAATTAACTTGAAAATTTACATAAAGATTAGTACATTGAAAAAAATATAAAAAAAATTTCAAAAAATTATAATAATATTCAAGGTCATATTACTTTACCTCTTTTCTTTATAATTTCAATAAATAATATAGTTTTTGATGAATTACATGTCTTTTTATAAATTACAGATTGACTGTGGGTATTAGTTGTAACTGAAATTAAAGAATATGATTTATTTAATAACTTAACAAGAAAAGTTATTGTAGATGAAATGCAAAGATTAAAAGTTTCTTTTTATTTTTGAGAGAATAAAGATTTTAAAACTTGTGAATATACATCATTTGTAGATAATGATAAGGAAATAGTTATAAAATCCTTTAATTTGCAACTATTTTTTTAGTCATCATGCGTAAATTTAATATGAAAGTTATGGGATGATTTTTATGAATTATACTGTAGTATGAAAAATAAAACTATAGATCCAATACAATTAAAAAAACAAGTACTTAATTGGTTATCATTATTTCTTACACTATCACAAAACAATCTTGATAATTTAAATTTTACACAAGGATTATATTTACCAAATCAAATAACTTTATATATGTATATGTTGGTTTATCATAAATAGGAGCTTTTAAAAAAATATCAATATTGGGGGATTGAGAACTTTTTCATATTTTGTAGTTGAAAAAAAGAACCATAATTAGATTTCAGCATTTTTTCATAAAACTCTTAAAAATGGAAGTAACCTTTTAAAAAAAAACCTGCTATTCAAGAAATTATTGAATTTGAAAATTGTACACTTTATTTTAATTGTAACCTTTTGAAAGAACCAAATAGTATTAAGAAACTTCAAATTAAGAAATACGCATGTTTAAAAAATACATACTTAAAATATAATTAAAATATTATTGAAATATTATTAAAATATACTTAAAATATATTTAAAATATACTTAATTATATTCGTAATAATCTATTTAAAATATTATTATTTTATGATTAAAATAGATTTAAAATATACTTAAAAAATACTTAATTTAGGTAATGAGTAAGTATGTTTTAGGTATATATTTAAAATATACTTAATTTTAAATATGTTTTAATAATATTTTAAGTATGTTTTAAGTATATACCTAAAATATACTTACTCATTACCTAAATTAAGTATTTTTTAAGTATATTTTAAATCTATTTTAATTATAAAATAATAATATTTTAAATAGTTTTTTATATACTTAAAAAATATCTAATAAAATATATTTTGAATATATTTTAAATATATTTTAAGTATATTTTAAATATCGTAATTTTTATAGGGATTATATCTATTGTTACTTCTCTCTTTATATAATAGATAATAAATACTAATTCTTAGTATACAATAGTGATATAAATTGAAATTGAAATAGTATTGGGTACATATTAATTATTTTTTTAATTGTATAAAAAGATTTATAATAATTATTAATAACATTTATTTTTATTTAGAGAAATTTCAAAGGTAATAATTATTTATTAAAAAAAAGTAATTAAAAATTATTTTTAAATTGTAAATTTTATTTTTATTTATTATATTTATTATTTATTGTTACTTCATTCAATGTATAATAACATAGATTAATAATATTGGATGTGTATTTAATTTTTTTATTTTATAATCGTGTTTATTAATAATTATTATTAATATAATTATTTTTATTTAAAGAAACTTCGAAAGTAAATAAATTATTTAAAAAAGTTATATCAAATTGAAAATTTAATATTATATTTTTATTTAATATATTTATAATTGAATTTATTAATAATTATTATTAATAATAATTATTTTTGTTTAAAAAAATTTTGAAAGTAGGTAAATTATCTAAAAAATTTATATTAAATTGAGAATTTAATATTATATTTTATTTAATATATTTATAATCAAGTTTATTAATAATCATTATTAATAATAATTATTTTTATTTAGAGAAACTTAAAAAAAGTATATTATTTAAAAAAAATTTATATTAAATCAGAAATTTAACATTATATTTTTATTTATTATATACACTGGTCAAAAATTGATAAAATATACATATATCGAGTACTCGATATGTATATGTTTTATCAATTTTCGACCAGTGATATGTAATGGTGATATAGATTAATAATATTAAATATATTTTTTTTATTTAATTGAAATTTATAAAAGAGTAATAATCATTATTTTATTTAATTTATTTTCAGAATTAGAATTTATAATTAATTTTTTTATATTAATAATTTAATTAAATATCCTAGAAACAAACAAATCAATATATGAAGATTGAAAATATGTAGTATATTAAATTACAAATTACATAATTTTAAAAAATGTAAATTTATTATATTTTTATAATAATAATTATAGTATAATTATTTTAGTCATTCAATATTATTAATTAATCATTCATTTAATTATTTTTATAATTATCAATTTTTATTTATTATTTTTTTATTTTTAATTTACATCATTGTAAAATATAAAAATTAATAAACAAATGTTCTGCCTTAAATATATTTTCATTAATTTCTTTAAAAATTTTATTTTTCCATTCTATTAAAATTTTTCCTCATAAAAATCATAGTTTTCTAATTATTTTTTATTTTTTTTGATAATTGTAATAATTTTTCAAGGGAATTTATTTCTTCTACTACTAATGTATTTTAAGAGGAAGAATCTAAACATATTATATAAGTTTGTTGATTTTGTGAATATTCCTTTTTTCCTCATTAATTAGAATTAAAAATTATATTTAAAACTTGATAAGTATCATGATCTCAAAATATGTATTTATAAAATCTCTTTGTATTTGAATAATAATGAACATGATCTTCAAAAACGAAAAAAAAAATACTTTCAGGACATGATATAGAAACCAACTTTTTTTCCATAGATTTAAAGTTCAATAACAACTTTTTATATTTCTACTATCAAAATTTGTTTAAATTCAGCAATAGTATTTTTTGATAACTCATCAAGATTTTGATAATGCTAATTATATCATTTTATATATTGTTTATGTTATGTTAAACCTTAGGATTTTTGAATATTTTTTTATAAATAGAACATATCATGTCAAGAAGTGTTAATAGAATTGATGGCATAGATTTGATAATTATAAAATCGTGATATCAAATATACTTAAAATATATATACAGTATAATGAGTAAATTTTATAAATCAAGTCTAATAATATTCTTTGCTTATCTAAATTCTCCAGATGAGTTTTTAATTATTGAAATAGGTTTTTGGTCTTGCGAATGGATTTTTACATATAGTTGCTATATTTTTGCTATTTTTTTTTGAGGTAACTATATAACTTTTTAAATTATTGTCAAATCAAAATTGCTTAATCATATAATATAAACAATTTTGAAATATTTTCTGAAATCAAAATTTGCTAATCAGCAGATATAATTACATTCAAATTCATTCTATGACACATATCACATAATAGATTAATTGTTGAAAGTAATTGCATAGAAGTTATTTTAGCGGAAATGTCAAGTTATACAAATTATTATAAATTGTAAATACATTACAAGAAAATTATGTGTTATTAATTATAATTAAAAATAGTTTGTTATCGATATCTGCTTATATTAAAATCTTATAATTATTTACTAGTGAAATTTATGAACTAGTTTTAGTACTTATATTTAAGAATAAACTATATGTCTGAATAGAATCTCCTTTTATAATCTACCATAACTATCATTTGTTAATTTCATATGTTTCATCAATCATTATAAGTGGTTATATACAACTAGTTAATATCTATACAGTTAATTTTAGATATCATAGATATCAGTTCTACTATATAATACCTATACTTAAACTCAAAATTCTTTACAACAAATTTTGTATCTTATTTATAAGTCAAATACTTTGTACCTATCATACTTTCAACATATGCAAAATTTATTACTTAGCATAAATCGATATTAGAGCTTAGTCTTACTATTTGAATTGATAATTTGGTGAATCACATTATTAATATAATGACTGAAACCCTTCACAGCTTTAAAGATATATGTATTTTTAACACCGAGCTTTACCCATAGATATTGACAAATAGAAAATAATTTTGAGTTGGATCTGAGTTAGACACTAAAGAACTAAAAGATAATAAGCTAACTAGATTATTTATATTCATAATAATTCATTATTGATATCTATTCCTTACAAAATACAATATTCTTGAAGAAATGGTTTGAGAATCTAATCTTTCTAAAATTAAATCACATATTCTAAAGTATATAGTTATTAAATCTAATAGGTCAAATTATTTTAAGTACAGTATTATACATGTTCTCAAAATTGATTTTGAATTTTTGAGATATTTCAACTTTTTGAGATTTATGCAGAATCTATTAAAAAAAGTATCCAGTTATGTGTATATTCAATCAAAGAATAAATTTAGGTGATCAAAAAATTTCGAGTTTTAAGTAAAATAATTTCGTCTTCTATGAAAAACTATTTTAACTTTTTTTTCTAAAATTATAATTTTAGAGCTTCAAAATAATTTTGCGTGCAAGTATATACAGTATTATCTAAATCCAATATAATTGATAAATATGTCTGGTTTTGATATTACAACTATTTTTGATAAAAAAGATAAAACATTACCTAAATCCTTTAATATTTGTTCTGGATATGATTTTAAATATACTGTATTATATATGGAACACTATATGAGTTTTAATGGGGATTTATATAAACAACTCTTTAATAATGAGAGATTATTTGACACCTTATTTACCATAAAACAGAACGAAACATCTGTTCAATGGACAATATGAGTCAGAGTACCTTTACATAATTTGTTAAATACTAGAAAATTTAGTGTATACCATTATTATTGTCTATTTATATCATATGGTCAAGATAAATTTGTTAATTTCGATTATCATAGACCGAGAATTTATAAGAGTCACATGATTATTTGTTTTAGTTGTTGGAAACTCATAAAAATTGATGATGTGAATTTTAAAAAATTATTTCATTTTACTAGACAAAGATATGTTGCTCATCTCATACCTAAAGACCTGATATAACAACATTGGAGTACAGAGTGTTCCAAAGCTATAACTAAAGAAGGCTCTGCAAGAATTATACAAAAGTGCATTTCACTTATTGAAAGAAAGAGTACCATCAAATGCAAAACTTGCTTGGAATAGTTTATCAAATAATAGCACTTCAGAGGATAAGAAATTTCTAGGTATAATATCTTGCAAAATAAAAAATCCTATAACTTGTCAACAGTTTGAGTTACATCTTGCTAATGAAATTGCTGAGTATAATAAATATCAAGGTTGACGCATGGTGCCTAATAGATATTATGATGAATATTATATTCCATATGATTGGATAGGTTCTAAAAAGAGTTAATTGCGAGTTAGATTTTGAAAGCAACTTTTAGAGCTTGAAGCATAATACACATATCTTTTTTCAAACATGAGAGGAAAAAGGAATAAAATCATCTGTGGTATTCCTGAGGGCTAGTACTTTAGACTTTATTTCATTATCTTTTCTAAAGGAAAGCTGGTAACATTTTTTACTTTGATTTTTATATGTCAACCTGTTTTTATAGATCACAAAAATTCCTAATATAGATAATAGATCGTGCTTGTTATTTTTTATTGTGAAGCAATGGCTACACTTTACACCTACTCAAACTTCAAATCGGCTGGAGACGATCAGCTTCTCGATAGAAGTGGCAAATAAGATGTATTTGATATTGATATGACTGAAAAATAATATATTCGAATCTTAACCAAATTGTAAATCCCTTATGTATATCGGTATAACACCAAATAATTTTTGATGACAGAACAATGACATCAACATGCAACGTGCATTATATTATGCGAACTAAATGTTGTTCTGTTGCACAACCTGTTTTAAATCTTTCATTTATGACACAAAACAAGTTTTCTAACCAACTTTTTTATTTCACGTACATTTTCATTTCACGTAACACTTTCATCACTTTCATTACACTTTGTATATTATCATTTCACTTACACTTTGTATATTATTATTTTGTGTACTATCCCTAAAGTCTTTACGCTTGGTTAGATACTTTACAAGAACAATGGCAGAGAGTGCTTATAATAGAATTTGTGCAACCATTCAGGTAAAATTGTCTTCAAACGTATTCAACAAACCAATTTTTTTGCATAGATCACCAGAGAGAATTGTGACCCCATTCGGCCCAGAAGGCAAGAAAGTAAGCCCGCCTTGTTGTCGGCCGATTTTATTGATAACAGTGTGGGACGTAATATGCCTTCTTTGGACGTACTATATCAGCCGACCCCCCGGAAGGCAACGCTACAAGAGCAGAACGAATACTTTGCAATGGGTCCGAAACTCTTAGCCGAGAAGATAGTAAAGATGGAACCAACTCAATGGTACCGTCCTCGAACAGTAAATCTCACATATTCGAAACGAAAAGGGAAAATATTGAGGTTCATGTTCGGTGCGTCGATTCGTTGCAGACCAGCGAACAAGGAAGCGCCAGCATCGAGAGGAAAAACAATGAAGATATTACAATTGGGTTCGAAGCATGCCCTAACCAAAGAACAATTGGCGAACTGCAGACATCCTTTGGGAAATTGTTCAGAATCGGTACCATGGGAGACGTTACGTGGACAACGGAAATCCCGACGAAACCGTGTTGTTTTGTATTCGCGCACCCTTGTCCTACCCAAGAAGTTAGGAGGACAATCGAAAGTTATGAATCCATGTTGCAGGTGTCAAAATGTGAAGGACAAGATGAAGCACTTTGCACAAATAAACTTGTGGTAGTTGATACATTTGCAAACGAGTCCGACCGTCGTCATCTTGCATCTTTCATTGGTTGTGAGCTTCCTAATGATGGTGATGATCCAAAAGAACTTGAATTTTATATTCAGTGGGTTGCAAAATTCGGCTTCGATCACATTATTATTATTGGGGAGATTAACTATGGAATGATTTTTTTAGACTGTTATGGTCGTGTATTTATGTGGGAGGATATGATGCAAGTTTTGTGGCCAATGGGAGATTCTTTGGAAGAGGTGAAATTGAACCATGGAAAAGATAAATTGTTCTGGGTTGTGGAGGATGATGGAATTGTATATGAGTTCGAACCACCACCTGAACGTACGTATGCAAAAAAAATTTTATGGCAATATGTTCATTGTTTACTGATATTTTTACTTGTATTCATTTTTTCCCAGATGTATACACCACCACAGAAAAGAGAAAGAACAAAAAATTTAAGAAAAAAAAGCACCAAAAACGTCATTAATATGGTTAAGAATGATAAAAATGACATGAAATAAACAACGTCCTTGATGTTACCTATACTAACGAATAATTAACATACGCTAAATTACATATTTTTATTCTGTGAAGTGATACTATATCAATCAATAATGTCAAGCTAATAAAGTTCCGGGTTTTTGCTTTTACATATATCATATTATGCGTTACAAAAATAATGCACTTGAGATTTTATTACTTAATCATTATGAATATTTAAAGTTTTAGATTTAGTCAATAAGACCCAATTCTCGAAGATGCTCTGGAATAACTATATATGGGTCTTCGTAATACCAAAAATATCTTAAAACGATCCAATTTTCTTCGCATAATTCTTTCTTGAGTTGATCCCGCTCTTGCTGTTTGATAAAATTATTCGGATCTCCTCTATGAAAGAATTTGTTATATTTTTCATATTGCTCTCCTTGGACTTCGATAGCAAAACCATAATCATAATATGGAATGTCAAGTTCTAATCCTTGAGGATATTCAGGTGTTATTAGAAAATCAGGTTTACGATTTTTTGATGGCTCCCCTAAATATTTTGATACAATTTCACTCTCACATTTATATTTTGAGCAATAGGGACACCATGTATTACCATTTTTAATACTTGCCAATGAAGAATTCCATTTATGACCTGACACATTTCCATCATAAGTGGGATTTACCATTAATATATTTATTTGAAATACACTCCCCACCTTTATTAAATGCAATATCAAGAGTATTTTTAGCTTGGCCCACACAATATGGACACCATGAGTTGCCATTTTTAATGCTATTAGAAGTTGTATACCATTTATGATTTTTTGCACAACTCCATAATAGTTTGGTATAACAATTTTTATATTTGGTTGAAAGACATTTTCCATTTCTATTATATGCAATTTGTTTGATGTCTTCAAGAGTATATCGAACATTGCATACACAATACGGGCACCATGTATTATGTTTGTTTACATTTTTAAAAGTTGCACAACTCCATAATAGTTTAGTATTACAATTTTTATATTTGATTGAAAGGCATTCTCCATTCATTTTAGATGTGTATTTTTTATAATCTTCAATACTAAGACTTCGGATTTGTGAGCATAGCCTACACTCTGTATGATGATTTTTCATATTTCCTAAACTTGTATATCAAATATGATTTTTAGAACATTTCCATTTTAAAGGCTCTCTACTATTTACATAAGATATTGATAAACACTCTCCATTTTTATCATATGCTATTTGTTTAGCAATATTGAGAGTATTCTTAACCTGACCTGCACAATATGGACACCGTGAACCTTGATTTTTGATATGACAAAATTTAGCAGTCCATTGGTGATTTTTATTGCATTCCCATAGCATTGAAGTTTCATTATTGATATACTCTTTGGAAAGATATCGTCCTTCTTGAGATTCAGCTATTTTTATTGTATTATTTAAAGATAATTTATTAGTCATTGTGATTAGTAATTGTATTGTTTTTTAATAATTATCTTTTAATTCTTGTTTTATTAAATAAAATCCAATGACTGAAGAGGAAGCTGTCACGGTAAGCCAATTAGTCAAATTCTTTTTAAAACATGAAGTTAATAGATATCAGAAAAAATTAAAATTTCAATGAAAAAGTTGATCATTATTGAATAATTCCTTATATGATACAGATATACCTGATCAAGAAACTCAAATCCAAGATATTGTCCTGACCTATAATCAGATACATAAGTATCTTTGCTTTACATGTAAGGAGAAAATTAATTCTCTGTCACTCTATCTCACTACGTAATTTATTATTAGCTTTATTCTACTTCTCAAGCTATTTAGTAATTTCTTGTATAAAAGGGTTAAAAGTTTTTTTGTTGAATTTAAGCAATTGTTGGAATAAACTATTTAACTCTTTTTTAACTCGAAATTAAAATTACAAATAGTGAAAAAATTACTTGCAAGTCTGAAGTCCCAATAATAAGTAGTAAATATACACTTTATTTATCTAATTTTAGAGGTGTATCTCAACCTTTCCTTATGTAAAAAAGATCTTCTTTTGCTCGGATTAAATCAATTACAATGAATTCTTGACCTTACAGATTTTTATCAAGTATATTAACAACATTATATCAATTTTTTATATATCACTTAGCAATATTAGCTAGTTTATCATATATATTACTGCCATTGAAGAGAACAATATAATTAAGATTTTTTCTTATTAATTTTGAACAGTCAAAGAAAAATTGTGTAATATATATACTACTAATATTAAAGTGCTGCCTTTCAATGAAGTAACGAGTAATTTTTTCTTGTATTTTTTTAAGTTTGGTATATACATCTTTAAATATAGTAATTGTTCTTCTCTTAGGAGAAAATTCTTCTATCTTTGATATTTTATCAAGTTTTATTACTCAGAATGTAATATTTTTATAATATGGTTTAGGACTATTTACAATAATACTATAACAATCATGCAAATATTTACTTTTTAATTTTTTAAGATGATATCTAA